CCGCCGCCGTCGCCGTCGCCAGGAGATGGCTGGCGCGCCCGACCCGCGAGCCCGTGGCGGTGTCGAGGCGCGGTGGAACGGTTGCAGCCGCTCCGACCGACTGACCGGCCGACCTACCCACTTACCGACCTACCGACCGGCCGGCTGACCCAGGGCCACGGCGATGGCGCGGTGCACCGCCCGAATGTACGGCATCGTATCGATGGCCCGTGTTGGTCCATTAGTGTCCTCTGCCCAGGCCTATCTGCATGCCCCTCTGGAGTATTGTCGACAGTCCCTTGACCCGCTCTCAACGGTCTTAGACAGACACAGACTTCTGGACACGCTGCGTCCCAGGGGATGCTCGGACGCGTCCCTCGAGGCGTGTCCGGACCCACCCCCGCCACGCCCCGCCGGCGCACTGCGGTGGCCGGCCGCGAGATGGGTCGTGTCAATCGCCGCGTCGCGCGGCGCTCGGGCGCTGCGTCGCTGGTTGTTTACTGCAGCGCCGCCCGCGGCTCGCTCCGACCGAGCCGCTCGACCATCAATATTTACGCCCCGCTGGAAATAGTGGGCCATCGCTCAGTCGCGCCCTGCCGGGATGAACGATCGCGATAGGCGGCGATCTGTCGGCGGCTTCCTGGGCCGCGGCCGCGGCGGACAGTGACCGAGTGTGTTGCGCGGCACAGGGCGGCCTCTGTCCGTCACCGACCGCGTCCGGTGTCGGCCGCGGGCGGTCGGCGTGACGTCGGCAGCGGGCGCCCGGATGTCTCCTCCCGAGGGACAGCGTCGCCACAGCGGTCTTCCTGCCGTTCGGTCCGCACCTGTGGCGCTCCTCTGGGGGGGGGGGGGGGGAGGCGTCTCGGCGCGGGCGTGGCAGCTGCGCAGCTGTGCCGGTGCGCCGAGGCCGTCGGGCTGCTCGGATGGCTTCTTCCGGTCGGCCGTCAACAACGGCTTCGTTGAGCCCGGCTGGCGGTGGCTTGCCAGACCTTGAGAGCACGCGCAGGGGTGCGCTGGATGCTGGGGGCACATACCCTGTTGGTTTGACTATTCTCTTATATGTTCAACGCATTGGATTAGGCTTTTTAATTTCGATGGCTGCCTTCACACATGGTTAACTCCCGTCTTGATAGGGGGCGGGCGGAAGGTCGATGCGACCCTTTTGAGAGTTTCTGAGGATATCTCTCCGACGTGTTGTGTAATTGCACTCAAATTTTCGGTAGTAGAGGGGGCATTCTTTGCGCGTGTTTTTACACCAAGGTGCCTACTAGTGCGCGTTCAGTGCCGTTGCGTGGCACGGTTTCGTTTCGTATGCAAAGCGGAAAAGTGCGATTTTCAGGAAAATCGCGCTTTGACCTGGCGTAATTGGATCAACTATTGACCTAGCAAAACAATATGCACTGCCAGTCGCGAGATTTTGCCAAAGACCAAGGTACTGTCCTTTTCCGCGAGGTTCTTTTCGTTCTTAGATTGAATACGACAAGGAAGGGGTCGCATCACCCCCTCCCGCCATATCAGTCCGCGTTGTGGAAAAGGGCGAATCAGGGCGAGGGTTAAGAGACGCTTAAGACTGGCGAGTTTAACACAGACCAACGTCGCTTGGTGATGGGCTCTGGCGTGCATTGAACAGGGTTCCTAAGGTCAAAGCGTTTCAGTGGTTGATGCTGCCAGACGAAACGTTTGTGGCGTCACAACCCATTTTGTTGTCATTTCTGCACGAGTTGAAGACCGTTTTACGTTATATATGCACACGGGCGTAGACTCCCGCTAACTCCCCCTTTCCTCTTCCCGACGAAGGTCTTCTGACGACAGAGCATCAGATCGTGTGATGTTACACTGGTGACATTCCTCTCGCGCTGCGCTCTGCGAAGCACATGCGACGCCCAGGGAGTGGCTGGGACACCACATTTGGTGCCCCTGACCAGGGCGGGAGCCGCGCCATGCATGCGTTAAATTGTTGAGCCTCATAACCGGCATGCCCACGTCTCGCTGTGAGCACAGAAGCTGGTTACGTCAACACTGATCGGCTTATGGGCTTCCTCAGTCATGTCTGAACTCCAGCTTAAGACAGGAGACTCGGTTTTTCCGTCCTCTGTGCTATCGTCGCCTCGCGATCCTTCTCGTGACGTCACGAGAGTGGTGACGAACCAGCTGTGATTGGTGTTCTGTTTGGCTGGTGGGATTTTGGTGTCGGTTTGGGTCATGTACAAGCGCGTGACAGTTCCACAGACCTATCGAGCACGTTGATTGATGTAGGAAACTCACTGCACGCTGCAATGCACGTGCATCGACGCAGGAAAAGACACCAAAAGCTATTTATAAACGGGCAATAGGGGTTTTACCTGGACTCGAGGTTCACCTTAAATTGGACAAAGAAGCACAAGGCGAACGATGTGGTCACCGAACCTGCCAAAGTTTGACAATCTCCAGTCTGGGCCGACCTCGATCCCAGCCGCGTTTCCAGGTGTCCTGCTCGGCCGGCGTGCGTGCGACGTGTCGTGATCCGCGCCCCCTGAGCGAGCCCCTCGCCTCCGCCGCAGCCGGGATCGCCCCCTGCCGTGACCCGGCTGCGCAGTCGCCGCCGGCGGCCTTCGCTGCGCCCGGTTCAAGCGCGCCGTCTCCGCTCATGCCGGGCGTGTTTATGCTAATTCGTGTGTAATTTTGGGCGCCGAGCTGCGCTCGCCGCCCCGTAGATCCCTGGGGTCAGACGGCGGCCGGCCGCCGGGGTTGACGTAATGGGACGACCCTCGGCGGAGATGGGCGGGCGGCACGAGACGACCGGCCGTGACCTTGGGCGGCCGTGGTTTCTCAGGCCTCGCCGTCGTCGCCGGAGCGGCCGGGCCGTGCCGCGCCTGGCGCTGGGCGCACGCGTGTCGCCGCTTCTGCCGTTCTTTTGACGGCGCCTGTCAGCGTGACTGGGTTTCCTCTGCGTGGGCCGTTTCGTCAGCGTCCGTCAGGCTTCTGTCGGTGTGCGCTGCTGGCGCACGGTGTGAGACGGACCTCGGCTGTCGGCGGCGCGTCAGCGCCGACTATCAGCGCCCGCTCACGCCCCTTGATGGATGGCTTCTGGCCCAGATACGGACGTGGTGGCACTGGCTTCGAAGATAGCACTCGCTGACGCCCCAGATCATTGTGTGCTGTGTACTCGAGATAATTGTTGGCCTTATTCGTCCGTTGGTAGTTATTACTCACCACCCGAGTGGTTCGGAAAATGCCTGCCAATCTGCTAGCCGTCTCAGCTATGACTAATGTTGCTGTGCGCATGATGTTGGGTGGCCGTTAGAACTACTTCGGCATCTTCTGAAGTCAATACGGCGTACGTTTTTTTGCTGCGTTTTTACATCGACCCACTGATACTAATACCAGCCCATGCGCTTCACAACACGAACAGATGCTGATGGTTTCGACTCTGGACAGCACCTCGCCCGGAATAGGTGGTCGTTGCTCCAGCGCCAACCCAGCGTTTTGAAGCCGCATTGCCGCGACCCGTGCCTGACCCAGCCGTCTCCGTTGGCAGCGCCTGCTGATGGCCACCGCCTCTGGGCCAGTCTCCCTGTGACCGGCACGCTCGCCGCCATGGAGGGCGCCGCGGTGATGCCGCCGCCGCTGGCTTCCTCCGGCCGGGTCCACCCGGTCCGCGAGAACGGCTACGCCCAGGCGCGCCTCCAGGGCTACGTGAGCGGAGGGCCGCGCGCCGCCTTCGGCCCGGCCGCGCTGCGCGCCAGCTACAACGAGCGGCTGTACCCGCGGCACAGGGAGCGCGTGCTGGCGCAGCACGGCGGGCCGCGCAGCCTGCGCGCCGGCGACGCGCCTGCCGCCGTCCCTGCCGCCGCCGGCGTCGGCGTGGGCCCGCTCTACCGCAGCAACTCGTCACTGGAGCTGGAGCACGAGCCGGCCGGCGCGCTGCGCCGCGAGTTCGGCTCGCATGGCTCGATCGACGTGATTGCCGGCGGCGGCGACGCCATGCTGGCCGTCCTGAAGGACTTCCGCAGCCTGGACCCGGAGCGGGCGGGCGGCGGGCCGCGCGCCGCCGACGCCAGCCCGCGCCTCAAGTCGCGCCTGCAGCGACTGTGGGACCGTGACCGGCGCGGCAGCCGCAAGACGGCCGCCGCCGAGCCGTCGCTGTTCCGCAAGTGGCGCGGCGCCGGCCGCGACGGCCGCGCCGCCGACCCGGAGACGAGCCGGTCGTCCGACTCGCTGGACGGCGAGGCGCGGCTGGAGGAGCGCCGCCGCCGGCGCGCGCTCGTCCACTACGACTGCCAGAGCCTGCTGGCCAGCCTGGCGGCGGCGGCGCAGCAGCGCAGTCAGCTGGCGCGCCGTCGCAACACGGCGACCGGCGCCAGCGCCGCGTCGGCGGCCGGCGATGCGGCCGCCGCCGCCGCCGAGCCGCCTGCCGACGACCATGAGCGCGGCGACGACTGCAGCAATGACCTGGTGCTCAGGTGAGGCGGGGAGGCCGCCGGGCCTGAGCTGGGGCGGGTGGGGATGGCGGCGATGGTGACCGCACGGGCTGGTTATGAGCGGAAGCTTGTCAGGCTCGTGAGAGGCAGACCGCAGGGCTGTGTGTTTAAGGAGACATCTGTCATCTTATGTTTGGCTCTGCCCTCTGGTGTCAGCTTATTTTTAGCGGATTTTGTGGGCTGACTGAGGTATCTTTGATCGGCTTGTGTTAGTGGGGGTGGGGGGCGGGGGGACACTTTGCTGCCTAAAGGCTGCAAAGTCCAGTCTGGCCGCTCGGATGCAGCGTCATTATCAGCTCTGTCAGTATGGCCGACGAAGGTCTCGCTAGCGCCCGTGACTCTTTTGGCTTATTCATCACGTTGTCGTCATGCGGCCATGCGTCACAGACGGCCTCTAGTCGACCACACCAAGCGCCGATGCTCTCACTGACGGCCCCACTGCGAGCCCCCGCCAGCACCGTGGAACCCGCCGCCCCGTCATGGCGGTGACTCGACCCGGTCGTGTTCCAGCTGTCCGTTCTTCCGCAACGAGACGGGCGGCGAGGGCGAGCGGGCGGTGAACGTCGGCGCGGCGGCGGCGGCGGCGGGTCCGGCCGAGGCGGCGTCGCCGCTCCTGCACCGGCCGGCCGCCGCTTGCGGCCTCTCGGTGCTGGAGCAGCCACAGGGCATGACCCACTGGCCGGCGCATGTGTGCCCGTTCCGGCGCGCCGCCACCGCCGCCTCGCCAGAGAGCAGCAACGTCGGCAGCTACTACTACAAGGACTTCTTCTACGGGAAAGGTGGGTTGCGAGGAGGCTGACGGGAGGGCCGGCGGCGTCAGGCAGTGTCGTGGGTGGTGCCGGCGGCGCCAGAAGGGCTTTGATCGGTACTGCGTATCGAGTATGAACAATGTCAGCGTGGGAGACAGGCTAGCCGGCTGGGGAAAAACTGGAGAAAGGCCAGGTCAGAACGGGGCTTTTACCCTGGCGCGTGCAGGAAAGCCGGCCTGTAAGGGAGAGATGCAGCGAAGTCGCAGCGGCCAAAAGACCAGATTATTTAGCAGAGGCAGGCCGACGGTTGTCAGGGCAACCGATCACCGCGCGCCGGCGGAAACGGAGGGGCGTCATGCGGTGGGCGTGGTTGCCGGGGAAAGGAAATTTCCTACGCCGACTGGCGCGTCACGTCGCGCCGCTGCTCCGAGCCTGGGAACAACGGGACCGGACCCTGCAGCGGGTGGCATTGTTGTTGCGAAGTCGAAAAACCTGGTCATGTTCGGCGTAACGCTGCATGCATGCATGGCAGGTGCTGGTCCAGGATAAAGCCGGCAAGCGGCTGCAGGTGGCTTCGAATGAATGGTGGAAATTATGGGTGCAGTGTTTATTTGTCGGGCTGTCTTGTTTCTGCCCATCTACTTGAGCTTTGTCTTCAGTCTCGTAGTTGAAATCAGTGAAGTTGAAATGTAGAGAGAAGTCGGGAATTTGAGATTCCAAAGTACGCGTTGTCCCCTGCTTTGAGGACCGGATGTCCCAGTGCGGATTGCTTTCATTATTTTAAATCGAGAGAGGGGAATGATAGGCCACATGTCTTCCGATCGACTCGTGACTCGCGACTTACCGATGCGCCGAGAGATTCAGACTCCCCTAACCCTTAAGGAAAAAAACGGCCGTGATACTGAAGCAAACCTTGAATTTTGAAAGCCAGTAGGAACTTTTTTGGTCGGGGTCCTCCGGTGAGAAGATCGTCCGGACAATGTGCGACGTATCGGGTCGTTAGTCAGCTGCCATCGGCTGACCTTCGCGTCGTACGGTTTTTGCTGGCGGCGGCGGTCGCGGGGCCGCTGTCGACACGAACGTTCCCAGATGCAGATTGCTGGCGGGAGTTTGGCGCGCCATTGTCAGCCGAGCCCGCCACGCGGCTTTGTCGTCCCTGACGCGCCGAGGGAAGCCGGAGGTGATTATCATCTCATTATCGCGGCCTGCTGTCGCGCCCGGGCTGTTGAACCCGTCGGCTCGCCGGCCAAAAATCATCTGCTCTGTTTTCTTTCCCCGGCGCGCAAACGGCGCCGGACTGGGCTGTCAGGTCGCCGCCGCGGTCCGCTGGTGTGCTTCGGTCCTTGGTGGTCGGCTAGCGCGCTGGTCTGCTGGTCCGCCGTGGACCGCTGGTGTGCTTCGGTTCTTGGTGGTCCTCTGGGGCACCGTCCGGCTAGACTCCTGAACGGCGGTGTCGTCTGGACCGCTGGTCCGCCACTAGAGCTGAACGATCAGATCAGGAAAACTAGAATTCTGGAAGAGATCTTCGCATTCGGAGAATGCGTCGATGTAAAAATTCATACATGAATTTCATAAAAGAACGCACATGTTCATAAAAATGCTCGCTATCAATTGTAGACGTGATTGACACAAGCAAGGGCGTGCAAAAAGAGCGCAGAGTTGGGGTTTTTCGCACATACGACACGTCACACTTTGCGGATTTCCTGTGCTGGCTGTTCGTCCATTATGAGTTGGCAGTTCCTATCTTGAGAATGACCTATCATCAGCACACCAGAAGGCACTGGTTAGCAACGTTATCGCCAAATCATTGGTTTTATTAATGAGTTCGGCATTTTGATGCTGTGCTCACGGCCACGGGTGATCAGGGTTAATCAGCGCCTCCCTGTATATTGAAGGTCGCTTATTTTCAACATACGAACTCTCAACTTATAGTGACGAAAAGCCAATTCAAGGCCTGGGCTATGTCTGACGCTGCGCAACGATCGTCCTCCTTGACCTTGAATTACCCCAATCCTCAACGCACTTACAGAAAGTATTTCTAAGGTATGTGTATCCGAAAAGTTATGTAAATATTGCGAACACTTCAATATCATTCCCGGACCGGAGCCGGCCGCTGGGCGTTATGTATCACTCATGCTGCTGGGTGTTGGTGGGGTGCACCAGCACGTTGTACTGTGGCATGACGGAGATTAGAGCGCATGTTACCAGTACGGCCTCCCCCCCCCCCCCCCCGGAACGTTGCTGAACTTCTAATTATTCGTCATTAAGTATGACTGTGAGACTGCGGGGGTTCGTTGATATGTTCAAACGAAGACAGAAGTGTAGTGGTGCCATCAAAGTGCCGGATCGTGGTATGTTTACTGTTGTTTCCCTTGTGCTGGTTCCAAAAGACACAATGTTGTATCCGTATTCTTTAAAAAGATGGCAGTTAGCAAATGGAAGAAGTAGTTTAAACTGGAAGAGTGCGCAATTTCCTGAATGACAAAATGTAGCAAATGTGCGTTCTTCCATTACTGCGTTGTATGTTTATCAGTCTATCAAGGATTGAATGGTGAGCCAACTGCCCCCACAACATTCCAAGCCACTTTGTTTGGTGCCGGTTACACCAGAAGGATGTGTTATATTAGGGAAAGGAAAATAAGCCTGTCAGTGCGCTGATGTAGGTGAACGACCTCCGTTGCGTCGCAGCGTGAAATTGTATTTGCGAGATACGTTCTGTGTATTCGATAAGTACGTTCAAGTGTCTAATAACTACTTGTCATCATTCTGAACGTATTGGAAGCGGGAAAAGCTCATAAATGACGAGCATAACTCGCGCTTCGCTGACTGAGACAACCCCTTCTCATGGAGTTTCCCGTGCTGCTATCAATAGCATGAGCGCACGCGAACGTCGCGAAAGCAGGAGGGAGGGCGAGGATAGGGGAGGGGGCCTAATTAGGCCGTCGGCAGTGCTGTGCGAAGGTTCAAGACCGTTCGTCCTGGTAAGGATGACGCAGACTTCGTGACTTTTCTCGAGAGCGAGCATTACCCGCTGTCGCTCTGCTGGCTCCATTCATTACCTGTGGCGGAGACGTCCAGACCTCAGCTGTCGATGCCGTTGACCTGTCGATGGCGGGTGCCTTCTTGTGCGGAAGAGGGGGAAGAGGCGCTGGACCCGGCCGCGTGCCGTCAGCGAGCTGGGGAGGATCGTGTCTTCATCACCCTGTCGTCATCACCGCTCCGCTGCCGGCCCCCTCGCCCGCGGCGCGTCTTTTTGCCGCCCCGCGCCGAATGTGGCGCAGGCATGGAATGGTAACGGGCGCTGTGCGTCTGTTTTTGTACTCGCCGCGCCGAAAGGACGCGTGGGTTGCGCGGCCGAGTGCCTCTCGCCGGAGGGGGAGGGACGGCGCGCGGCGGCGTCCCTCCTCCTGCGGCCGTGCCGACAGCGCCGCGCCGCCGCTCGCCGGTAGTGGGGCGGCGCGTGATCCGACAGCTATCCACCAGCTGAGCCAGCCGGCTCCAGTACGCGTCCTCTTTGTCGCTGGAGTCCACAATCGACCGTTCGGCCCCCCCCCCCCGCCCTCCCTGCCACCACCCCCTCGTCCGGCGCTTCCGGGGTCACGGCTTGGTGAGCGGACGGGCAGGATCGGTCATCTCGCTGCTGTGGTCACACCAGAGCGGAGGGGGGTCATCCCGCTGCTGTGGTCACACCAGAGCGGAGGGGGGTCATCTCGCTGCTGTGGTCACACCAGAGCGGAGGGGGGTCATCCCGCTGCTGCGGTCACACCAGAGCGGAGGGGGGTCATCTCGCTGCTGTAGTCACACCAGAGCGGAGGGGGGTCATCGTGCGCGTGGGGAGGCGCTCGCCGTTAAGTCAGATAAACCGGGGCGGACAGGGGGGAGGGGAGGGGAAGAGGCGGTCAGGGGTAGAAGCGGCCCCGATGCTGGCAAAAGCACAGCGTTTGTCCTTCCAGCGTTGAATGAAACTGTTTTATAGCAAACTACGTTGTGTAGTCAAAGATGGATTCCAAAGACGTTTTGGCCTTCATTGTTAACCATGTTCCAATACGCACACATCCCGCACAAATTTCAGCATTGCCATCATTCATATGCATACACATCACTCACATGCCAGTGAACTACATAAGCATCAAATTACTCAGGTGTCAGAAGATGCGGTGATCGGATGATGTGGTATCGTTACTTGATGGTCGCTTGCTATCAGTCCTCTTTAATATAATTTCCGTCATTGCCATGTATTGTACTGGCTGGCCGGCATCACGCCGGTGCTGGTCGGTTCGACAACTGCCTTGTAATGTGTGGTCCTGCGAATGATTCCGTACACGGCGCACGCTAATGCGAATGATGATCTTGATTTCCGTACCACGTTTGTGAACGCGTCGACGCCAGGCTCTCGGCGTGGCTCCGCCACTCCGCGCTTTGCTCCAATTCACGCATCCTGTGCGGCCGGCTCCGCCGCAGGCTAGTGCCGCGTGGTCATTTGCGAGCGGACGAGAGAGCGGCCGTTGCTGACCCTCGGGTCGGCGGGGGGCGGAGCCGGATGTTGCGGCAGGGGCGGGCCGCGCAGATCTGCCGCCGTCAGCGCGCGGGCGACGCCGGCTTCCGGCGCTCCAGAAACGCGCGACCCCCGGCGACCTCGGCGGCCGGCGGCAGGCCGCCGGGACGGCGACCCAGATGGCCGCGCTGGTGATTTATCCTCGCCACTTCCCCGTCCGGCCCGCGCGCGCATTAGCCGCCCATAACCCGCCGCGGCGAATGCGTGTCGCCGCCTGGCCCCGCCGACCCCGCATGACCTCTCCTTGACCCCTGGGTGGCACCGCCTTTGAGCCCGCCGCCGACGCGCTTCGTTCGTGTTGACAGCGTGTAGGGGCGGTCACGTGTTGTGATGGGAGAAGGAGGATTTGTAAGGGCGTTTCCGATTCATTTGCTCGACGCTCATTAGCGACCGGCATGCCGCGCCGCATTGCCCGCGTGCGGCGGGCGGAAAGGAATTCCGCTCGGTAATTCACGAGTAATCTCCGCCGTCCGGCCTCTTCTCTCTCCCTGCTCTCCTCGTGGCTGGTGCTGTATGTAGGTATTTTCCAATGATATTATTGGAGCATTCATTTTGGCAGAGCCTGTGCTCTCAATGTAAGGGTCTTAATTGTCACTTTGGACCCCAAAATGCCATTACTGTGGCCCGCTTCCCAGCGCAGCACTCGATGTCGATAGTCAAACGTCATAGTTGTGACCGCATACTTACAACTAACTGAACTGAAAAATGGAATGTTCATACGTCTCGTTTTCATTTAAAATCTTTAATTCTGACCACATGCTCGAGATCCAATCATCGAGGTTTCAGTTAGCTTGAGGTCGTTTTGTCCTTTTCACCGTCTTGTGCACCTTGACCAGCTCGCTTACAACCCATCTGAAATTGAGCTTGCTTCTCGCCGACGCGCCTCACGGGTGCCCTATGCTCCGCGCGCCGCGAGTTCACCCATCACTCGAGCCGGAGGCCGTGGCCGGCCGGGCCGCCGGGCCGCGGCCCGCTTGCGACAGATCCCGGCCGTCACTCACTGGCGTACCCGTCTGGCCGGCCGTGCGATCCCGCTTCCGGCGGCCTGGAGCGGGTCTGGGGCGCGAGTCGTCGACCCGGAGAGCGGCTCATTACGAGGGCGGCGGGTAAACAGCGGCCGGATTGCTCGCCGGGGACTGGGCCGACCCGGCGGCGGCGTGGCCGGCCGGTCCGCCGAGACGGCCGCACAGCCGCCGGCTGGCGCGGAGGCCGCGCTGCCAGAGACGGAACCAGCTGCCGATCACGGGGGAGGAGTATAGGCCAGGACTCAGATCCATGTGCTGCTGATTTGCTCCGAAATCTTGCAAGTGCTGTCATAGTTTATATTGTACCATAGCTGTCTGTCTCCAATGGTTAGAATGTTTGGCGAAGACGGTTGGACTGCCCCTCTCCTCCCCTCGGACCCGCTCACGTCGTGCTCTGGCGGTCGTGCGTATGCGCGCCAGCTCTGCACTCCCGGGGCGTTGATTGCACGTGTCAGGCGCTGCCATCAGCCGTTTGTTGACACAGGTAATGAGAAGGCTGCGGCACGCGCGCAGGGGCCCCGCGGCGCCTCTGACTCATAGGGGTATTAATACATCGCACAGGAGGGCTCTCTCATCTCAGCCCGCTGTTGTCGAGCTGAGAACAGTAGCGCTCTCTCTCTCTCTCTCTCTCTCTCTCTCTCTCTCTCTCTCTCTCTCTCTCTCTCTCTCTCTCTCTCTCTCTCTCTCTCTCTCTCTCTCTCTCTCTCTCTCTCTCTCTCTCTCTCTCTCTCTCTCTCTCTCTCTCTCCTCTCTCTCTCTCTCTCTCTCTCTCTCTCTCTCTCTCTCTCTCCCGCTCTACCTCTCCTTCTTTTCGCCCGTTGTCTCTGTCACCATTCTCCCGCAGACCGATCACCTCCTGTGCGCTTCATCCCCAAGAGTGACTCGGTCCTGGGATGCAGCAGATTTCCTGCCATCGGTTCATACTCGTCACTGCGCTCGGAGCGGCTCGCCAGCCGTCGGCGCCGGCTTCGGGTCGTCGCCGCCCGGCTCGGGGGCGTCGATGCCGGCGGGGCGTGGTGCTTTGTTTGAACAGGACGGCCGTCGCCGATCGATCGGAGCAGCTCCGACAGCCCGCCCCCTCCGCTCGGGTGCGGGGGGCGGGGGTTTAACGGGGCGTTTCGTCCCGAGGGCCGGCGCGGTCGATACTGCGAGCTGACCAGGCTCACTTCGCTCCTCCTGCCTCCCTGCCCCCGCGTGTCTCCGCGGCCAGACAGCGGGGGATGGGGACTCGCCTACTAGGGCGAATCAATGTATGGCAGCGGGCTGGGCAATGTACCGGTAGATACGTGAGAAGGGGAGGGGGGGGGGGGGGGGGCGGCATGTACACAGGGCGGCGTGCTGGTGTGAGCGCTGGGCGGTGTGCTGGCTTGGGAACCGGATAGTGACGGTATCTTCACCGGTTAGTGGGGCTGGTAAAGACCTTAGATGGTGAGATGGCGCACACACCGAGCATCTGGTGTGTGTGCGACGGTGGGTAGATGGACACCAGATAGCGTGATAATATGGACACCTGAGAGTGTAACAGTTTAGACATGTGCCTGTTGGATGACATGCACCCGGAGTGGTGTGGAGGCACGGACGCTGGCCAGTCTGACGGCACGCGCGCTGGACAGTGTGGGACGTCCATACTACGGAGCCGGGACGGCGGGACGTCCCGGTGTCGTCCGCGGCCGCCTGCTGCCGTTGGCGCTGGGTGCCGCACCCCCGCGCCGCCATCACGCCGCTGACCCGTGTCCGGTGTCACCGGAACCGGACGTCCTGCGCGCTCGCGCACACACACACCGGGGCCGGACGGCCGTGGCCACCCTTTTGTGGGACGGCCGTGGCCATCCCTTGGTGGGACGGCCGTGGCCATCCGTTGGTGGGACGGCTGTGGCCATCCGTTGGTGGGACAGCCGTGGCCATTGGTTGGTGAGACGGCCGTGGTCATCCTTTTGTGGGACGGCCGTGGCCATCCGTTGGTGGTACGGCCGTGGCCATCTGTTGGCGGGGCGGTGGGACGGCCGTGGCCATCTGTTGGTGGGACGGCCGTGGCCATCTGTTGGCGGGACGGCCGTGGCCATCCGTTGGTGGGACGGCCGTGGTCATCCTTTTGTGGGACGGCCGTGGCCATCCGTTGGCGGGACGGCCGTGGTCATCCTTTTGTGGGACGGCCGTGGCCACCGTTGGCGGGACGGCCGTGGTCATCCTTTTGTGGGACGGCCGTGGCCACCGTTGGCGGGACGGCCGTGGCCATCCGTTGGCGGCACGGCCGTGGTCATCTGTTGGCGGGACGGCCGTGGCCATCTGTTGGCGGGACGGCCGTGGCCATCCGTTGGCGGGACGGCCATGGCCATCCGTTGGCGGGACGGCCGTGGTCATCCGTGTTAGAGGGACGTGGTGGGCTCAGAACGACACGGCCCTGTACCACACACGTGTGGGCGCGCCTCATCACTACTACTGTCTGTGCCATCCAGCTCTAAAGTTACCCCGTAATGAATTACGCCCGGAGTAACGAGCGCATGTGCAGCGCCGGGGTAACGTCAGCCGCTGGTTATGTAAGGCGCACGCGACTGTGGCGCGGCGCCGAGCGGCGTGTGTGCCGCGCGCCGTGAGGGGTGGTGTGTTGTGTGACGCGATGTGTGACTCTGTGCCCCGCTGTCCGGCAGAGCACGATACCTGGGTGGGCACGGACGAGTTTCTGGGCCCAGTGGCGGTGAGCGTACGCCGAGACCAGCTGGAGAGCGGCCGGTCGGACGCGGCCCGCGCTGACCGTCAGGTCGCTGTACACCCCTGCTACCGGATCATTATCAGGTCCAGCGAGGTAAGGTCACTGTACATCCCTGCTACCGGATCATCATCAGGTCCAGCGAGGTAAGGCCACTGTACACCCCCGCTACCGGATCATCATCAGGTCCAGCGAGGTAAGGTCACTGTACACCCCTGCTACCGGATCATCATCAGGTCCAGCGAGGGGTAAGGTCACTGTACATCCCTGCTACTGGATCATCGTCAGGTCCAGCGAGGTAAGGTCACTGTACATCCCTGCTACCGGATCATCATCAGGTCCAGCGAGGTAAGGTCACTGTACATCCCTGCTACCGGATCATCATCAGGTCCAGCGAGGTAAGGTCACTGTACATCCCTGCTACCGGATCATCATCAGGTCCAGCGAGGTAAGGTCACTGTACATCCCTGCTACTGGATCATCATCAGGTCCAGCGAGGTAAGGACACTGTACATCCCTGCTACCGGATCGCCATCAGGTCCAGCGAGGTAAGGACACTGTACATCCCTGCTACCGGATCATCGCCAGGTCCAGCGAGGTAAGGTCACTGTACACTCCTGCTACCGGATCATCGTCAGGTCCAGCGAGGTAAGGTCACTGTACATCCCTGCTACCGGATCATCGTCAGGTCCAGCGAGGTAAGGTCACTGTACACCCCTGCTACCGGATCATCGTCAGGTCCAGTGAGGTAAGGGCGCTGTCACGCATCACCCACGTCACCCACGCCTCGGAATAGGTCACCATTCGGTGGAGCGAGTTGGGGTCCCGGCGGGGCCAGATATCGCGAGGTATCTCTGAAGCGCCCTGCCGGACTGTTGCACTATTTAGCGCGGTGACTCAGTGATGATGTTCGAGGTCATGAACATAACAGCGCGGCTGTGCGCTCGGTGAGGAGCGTGCCCCGCCCCGGGACCGTGGCTCTGGACCGTCGTCACTTCGCTGGCGCACCGGGGTCATCGTCCGCGCGGGCCGAATCTGACGGCCGTCACTTACCCGGTTTACATGGGCAGCCGAGGATAATTCGAATTAAGATCGGAACGGATCATGCGACGTTAACCCTCTCGGCGAGGGGCGTTTACATGGGCGAAACCGGCTTTACGTCGGATTAACGGTCGATAGTTCGATCCCGCTTAGTTCGAATCAAGGAACGGATTATGGGCGAAAACTGCGCTTTTGAGGCGAACTGAACAAAACAAGAAGAAAAAAGCCGGTACTCTGCGTATGGATGGCGAATGTCACGAGCCATGGTGGGCGCGAGACAGCTTTGAGGGCGAGGAGGAAGATGGACTCCGTTGGAAAAATGATCTGTGCGGGACTCATAGGCTTTATAGCTACAGCACAAGCCATAGCACTTAAAACACAAGAGTTGCGCAGTCAGCACTGCCAAATCTGTCACATACGCAGTGTTATATGCAAATTTTTACTAGCGGGAAACTTTGGCTAGCAGGAAATCAGTATTTTCTTGTATTGGCCAATGACACTCACAAACTTACCACACTCATATCAGTATGCCACCCAGCATCATGTCATCTACTTTGCGCAGCCCAGGAAACACATTACCTACTCCCACACTAATGCATTGATGAGCAGCCTGCAACAGTGAGCTAAGCTACAGAAATGACTTATGAATGCTACATAGTTAGTGGCAAAAATTATGTAACTACGTTGTCTTTCCCCCATCCAGTGCATCATATGTACCTGAGGGCAGCATTGCCATTTAGACTTGGCATGGACTGGCAAGTCAGAATGCAGCTATTTGCTTTCTTGACACACTATGGTTGAAATACTGCTTTGATATCCTTGCAGTCAACAGCATTGGCTGATATGGACTGATGGCTAGGTGGCACAAACAGCTGTGTTCGCACAGTCCAAAGATCATAACATGTGAACCAGCCCCAGAGCTGTCATGACAAAAGCAATCTGGGCTCAAAATTCATAACAAATGATTAATTATAACAACAGCTCAATTATCCACCTCATGGTTTGCAAAGATACATGTCACAAAAAAGCACCAAGGTAACATATTTACTCACCAGTACAAAAACAGGTAATGATGTGCACCACAGATGTTCTCTGCACATCATGTGGCATTATGTTAGGTTTACTTAGTTTATGCACTGTTTTCTTCCACACGAAATGCACAAACCTGGATTTGACAGAGTACTGATGACAGCTATTTTCATCCAGTGCTCACATTTGCTTTCTTGACATTTTGGAACCATCACTGGGCAATTTTGGTCCCATCATTAAAAATAGTTCACATTCTGCACTGACTGCAATGATCTATTGCCTATATTTGTTGATCCTTTGCATCATGCAGGAATTACTGAGTTACCTATCTCACACACATCAAACCGACAAGCAACAAACAGCCTAATCGCATCAAAAACAAATATTCCAGCCCCCGCTTCCTTGCCATTTGGTCTACCAGTGCGATGTAACTTCATATTCCCTTGACGAGCCAGTCACCAATATCCAGCACATCCCTTCTGCCAATAGGTGGTCAACCAAATGCTCAAGTCACAGGAGGAATGTCTGCAAAATCAATCCTGGGGCATTTATGTATTCACTTAATGAAAGAAACTATTGGTACTCCCTGCAAGAATTGTTGAACAGTTGAAGTACCTACCCCATGGCCTGCAAAGACACCCATCACAAAAAAGCACCAAGGTGACATATTTAATCACCAGTACAAAAACAGGTGATATGCAACACAGACGTGTTCTCCATGCAGCATGTGCCATCGTGTTAGGTGTTAGTTTATGCACTGTTTTCCTGCACATGGAACACACAAACTTGGATTTAGCAGAGTAATGATGACAACTATTTTCATCCAGTGCTCACATTTGCTTTCTTGCTGTTCTGACCCTGTCAATGGGCAATTTCGGTCCTACCAGTAAAAAAGTTCACATTCCGAGCTGACTGCAATGATCTATATTTGTTCATCCGTCATATCATGCAGCAATTTTTAAGCTACCTTTCTCACACAAATTTAACTGACAAGCAACCAGCACCCTAATTTAAGGAACATCTGCAAAAACACTCCTGGGGCCTTTAGGTATTAACTTAATAAAAGAAACTTGGAGGCATTCTCTGCACGAATTTTGAGCAATCCAATAATTAAAGTGAGAACAAGTCAAAGCTATATAAAACGACCATATCACCTCCATCTGGCTTCTGGAAGCATGGAGCCTGCCCCAGACGTAAATTAATATAACCTTTAGGCGGAAAGATAACACCAAACACCGCCGACGCCTGCTGTCTGCATAGATTAAGCGCCTAGCAAGGCTAAATTACGTGAGCATTTCTGCGCTGCTAGCCACTCAAGGCCCTCAATAATAAGAGTAGTTTTAGCAGCATGGTGTCAACTTCACCTTCTTTCTCTTTTCCCTTACCATCTTGGACTTGGACCGTCTCGAGCAATAGCTAAAAACCCGTGGAAAAGCGGCAACACCAAGCAAAGCTGAAATGGCCATGAACAGAACTGCGTGCGCCAGGCATTTTTCTTTTTTTTTGTTTAGACAGCTGACGGCCGATAATTCGGACGAAATCCCTTCCTGAACGGATGATCCTCTCACGGGAAGGGATTTCCTCCGGCGCACGATTCGAATCAGCGGAACGGCGCGTGAGTGTATACATGGGCCGGATAGTTCGGATCGAGGACGGGTCCCGGCTCAATTCGAATCACAGCTGCCCATGTAAACAGGGTAACTGTTTGGGGTCGCCATCTGTCATTATTCGAGCCCCGTCCAGCCGCTGCGGCGTGCTTCAATCAGCAGCGCCATGCATTCGCGTCACAGCGAGGTAGCGGTGATGTGTGCCTCGTCACGCCCGCTGTAAAACAGCTGTGTTCGATCGGACGTTTTGTTAATTAAATGCGGGCGTCGATCTCGTCTTGCTCGACCCGGCGCGCCCGGCGTTGGGGGATGAAGCCAGAAATCGTGCGTGGCGATGTTTGAAGAAGCGCGGCCGTCCAGTCCCTCCCCATCCGTAGTTGCACGCTGCGGCTCGTGCATTCGCATGCACACGGATGTCATGCGCCGGGCGTCCCACCGAACATCGACAGAGCACAGCCAGCAGCGGCCGCTGCGCACGGTCTGACGGTGGCACCCGACCGACCTCTGGCGCCAGTATCCAAGTGAGGATGCTTGGGGCGGCGGTGCCTCGGCTGTCGGCGCTGCGCTCTGTTGTGTTGTAACCGAGCCGTTGACTGCCGCCTGGGACGACTCGGCTCCAAATATTGTGCTTCGGGACACGCTGTTTATTTCGCATGCGGGGCGCGGCGCGGGCGGCCAGTGCCTGTCCGTCTGGCCGGGTCAGCGCCTCGCAAGGGCGACGGGGCGTGCTTCCTCGGCGCGCCTCCGGGGGACTCGTCAGTCGGAGGTGGTCAAGAGTCGCTGGTGATGCTCGAGGGATGCTAGAAAAAGCTGTGCCCGTTTCCGTTCGGTCACGTGATGAGGGGATGTGCCGGGGCGTTTAAACATCACACCTACCTGGTGTTTTTTATTGGCAATGCCAGTGTTGTGTCGCAAAGACCCAGGCAGGTTGACATCCTTGTTTGACAGGTTCCCGATGTCGCGATAAATCTATTTTTACATCATTACTTCAACCGCGGGAATGTCGTGCCCCCAAATTCTGGGCAATCTAGCGAGATGAAGTCACTGCCAGACGCCGGTTCTTCGGGAGCGGGGCCGCGTGGCAACAAGCGTGCAAGACTGGGGATTCCAGACATTTGCGATTGTTGCCGAACCCGGCGGCCCCTGCTCCCCCCTCTCCCCTAGCGTGCCCCCTAGCACGTCCCCATGACCGCCTCGGCCGGCAATTGTCAGTCGCATGCCGGGAGACCACGCCAGCGGAAACCAGGTATCCGGCGGCGGCGCGCCGCTAAAACAATGGTGTCGGCTATCGCGGTGCCCATCGCCGGCGCCCGGTATGCGCCACAACCGCCGCCCGCGCCGCCACAATGGCGGCGCGGCTAATGGATTCGGAGCGGCCGGCGGCGGCCGGTCGTTTGTTTTTGTTCCGCGCGCCTGTCG